TATATAATTTTTAATATAATATATAATTTGTAATTTATTTTATAATTGAGAGATTATATGCCAGCGATGGTATGGTCATAAATGCGAGATCGCTAGGGCTGCACATTTGATTGCATATGCAGCTGTCACGGCCAGGCTTGCGAGGGCTCAAACCGAATGTCATCCATAACGGAATCAGATACGACAACGGAAATCCTATCGAAAACAATGACGAGTACATTTATAATGCAAATCAAAGGTCGATGACGAGATGAACATGTCGTTGATACGCTAGAAATGAGAGATTCTAAATGAGATATGTATTTAATGACGTCAGAAAATCTCAATCTGAGAAAATAAGTCAAAAGTATAATGTGTTCCGACATTATCAAGTCAGTTAAAGAATTTCTAGAAACAAAAAAGATATTAGAATTAAAAGTTTTTCATTTTTCGAATCAATATGTGTTGAGTTTTCAACAAAAAATAAAAGACAGAAAATGTTATACGAATCGTGTAGCGGAAACAAAACACCCACGCAAAGATAATATCTGAACTAGTAGCCTCTGACTAGGTGCACACTGAACTAATCAATTTTCAAGATTGCCATAGGCAAGGCCAAGTATCTCACGGCGCACAAACTTAACACAGTAACCAGCTCTACTTGTCGCCGATCATTTATCGGAGACTATCAACGTTGAACCCAAGCGTGTCGGTTGGGTCGTCGACACACCAAGAGTGACTCTCATTAAATTTATCAATACTCTCTACAATTAATTACTATATAATTAATCTGTTAATTAATACAAAAGATAATATATAACAAGCGTTTGAGGTAACTGGAAAGAATAGAGATAAAAAGTGAAATTCTAGTCAGCTGATTTTGATTCGCGATAAGAAAGTAAAACTAAATGCTTAATGACAAATTCTATAAAAAATTAATAATAATATTTTTGAATGATTGATGAAAATACATATATTAAGAGACAACGAGAGGAGAAACCGATTTCATCTACGACTGACAATGCGAGATAATGTGAGGCAGTTGTCCTGTGTAGTTATCCCAGCATAGCTCGAACCATTAGCAAGGACGCGATTAATCGTGCCTGACGAAGTCAATGTGCAACAACGGACTTCAGCAGATAACGATCTCTCATATCGCATGCTCTCGCGGAAGCAGATATAAATAACGGTACGACAATATTAAATTGACTGTAAACGAGAATAACAAAACTTGTAATAAAGAGCTGGGATTAATACATTCACAACGTGAAAGTTTTTATATAAATTTATACAATGAGTTTTTGAAAATGTGTTATTTTTGAGAGCTTTCAAGTTTATATAAAAATTGAAAATTAAATAATATCCCTCTCATTAAAATCAAACGGATCAAAGGATTGACAAAAGCAGGAAGTAGTCATTTCTACGCCGCTCGATCTCATATACATGTATTTCTTTCCATCGTATATATATACGTACCGGATACAAGTACTCGCGCGTGATAAATGGGAAGTGTATGAAAAGCGGTGCTGAAAATACAGATAGGGATATACATCAGCGCCGTTCGGGAGGTAGATAATGATATCTTAGTCTTTTTCCAATTCTCTGAGGTAGCTAAGAGAGGAGACCGAGGATCTTGAGTGATCCAGCGTGATCGATCGATCGATTTCGCTGTCCACATCAACGTCCATCGAACGAGCGGGAGTGCGTGTCATGGGTCGTTTTGAGATCCGATTTCTGCTTGCGAATTAATAATAACTGCTAGCCGGACTGTCCCAAGCGGGATTATAGCCTCCGTTGTTCCAGGACGGATCGTAGGCGCCGGCGGCGACTGGAGCTGGACCGGCCGGCACGCGTTGCGCTTCCGCATTGTAAAGAGAGAAATGTACGGCCTTGGCTTGCTGGACCTCGGGTGTGTCAACTACGCGACCATCTGGACCCAATGGGGCCGGTGGTCCGCTGCATAATAAAAGGAAATTGTAATATAAAACTAAATTCAGACAATTTGGAAACAAATAAACTAACTGAATTAATTCTCTTATTAGATAAAGAATGAAATAGAAAATAATGACAGAGGATAACATGTTGAAGAATAATTGACGCTAAGTTAGAAGATAAAGCTCTGTGTAATTTGATTGAATTTAAATACAAAAATCCACGAAGACGATTTCAAAAAAATCAACTCACAATCAGAGCTAGATCGAAATGTCTGTCCGAAACGAACCTGTAATGCGGAATATAATTTCCGGGAGCATAGGGCCCATTAGGTCCGGCGTAAGCACCAGCCGGTCCTGGTCCCTTCGGCGCACGTGCGTTAGCTTCCGCTACGGCATTTAAATGAGCAACTTTTAATTGCGCGACTTCCGGCGTATCCACCACGCGACCATCTGGACCCAGTGGTGCTGGAGAAGCGTGAGGCCCATACCACTGTGGAGCCGCTAGAATAACGCTCGACATTGCGAAGAAGAGAATCTACAATATAAACTTTTAATCCTCATTATTTTGTATTAAAAAAATATTCATTTTTAATTATATATAATAAATTTCCCACAATATAAGAATATTAAAAATAATTAATATATTAATAAATATTAATAAATATTAATTAATAATAAATTATAAAATTATTAATAATATTAAATAAAACAAACGATTGATGAACATATTCATTAAACGATGAATATCAATGTTGATAAGATTAATTTTGCAGCCATTTAATATCGATATCAGGATAACAAATACAAGAAATCGATAAAAAATGTTTCGGTATATTAAAGTAATCTCCAAAAATATGCTATCGCACCTCTTTCGAGATTTCAAAGATACTCACGAGATATCCGATCATTGCGGCGAGTCCTGCTGCGTATGCACCAAAAAAATATTGCCTAGATCCTCGGCACTACTCGAACTATCGACATGTGCGTTTAGATCCGCATTATAACTGCCATCAACGTGCATGGTGCAATTTATAGGGGGTACGATGCCCCTCTACCTCTGCGCGGGGTACAACCACACCCAGAGAAATGCTCTCCTTAAGTATGACACGTGCCCTGCCCTGTAACATTTAACGTGCGTTAACAATGACGCTCGATATATGTATATGTTTGTCCCGCAACCTCGAGTCGCACATAAAAGTGCGAGCTATGCGGGCTCTATGCACGCCATAAGTTATCCGCGGATGCAAGTTGCAATCATCGGCGACTTGGGCTCTTGCCAAAATGATTACGGGGCCAAGGAGCAACGAGGTTTAATAAGAATCTTTCCAACATGATGCAAGAGTGCTTTGTTTTCTCACAGATGACAGTTAGAAATTTACTGTACCGGAAAATTTGATGCATCGCGCAGGGAAACAATTGTGTGTATGCCTTTTATACATTTTGTATAAAAAAGTTTTATAAATATATGTAATAGAGGAACAATTTTTACATATCATATAATTATATGCAACATAATGATATAAATATTCTTATTATTATATATTTTAATTCTTATTGTTTAAAAATTTAATATCTTTTCTCTCTAAATTTTTAATCTTTGAAAATTAAAAGATACGATGCATAGTTTTTATTATTATAAATATTGAATATAATTAACGTAATAAATTTCTCAGTAATTGTACTGATTAATAATCATATGATTAAGAAAAATAAATGATCTATATTTCACAAGATTAAGTAAAGAAATCTATTGATTTATTTTATATAAAACAATATCTTTTACGACTCTAACAATAAGTAATTTATGATTATGATATCATGTTACTTTTTTGAAGCGCTATCGCGAGTCATATAACGCAATTAACGGAATTATTTATCCACGCGTGTCGAATCAATCACAATAGTGTGTCACGAGGTGGCAATAACAATAGTTGTTCAGATACTAGAATGGATGCAGTTTCGCAATTGACCACCTCGTTCATCGATCGAACCCTATTCGTACGGCTGATCTGAAAGGAATTGCGCATTTGTCACCAACGCAATCTCCGAGAGTGTTTAGGCGTTTAGTCGTGCCTGACAGAGTGACTAGTCACGTGTCGATCACTCGCGATTGACAACTGAACTCGTGTACCTCTATCGCGACTGAGATCTTAGCACATCGCCAGCATTCTTTGCTGCAAAACTGGACAACAACTGCGAAAGAAACTCTTTACGTTATCTGCGAAATAAAATATTCGCGGTCTCTGTATAAATTATTCAAGGAACGAAAATGACAAAAAGAGAAGGGATATAATTAATCAACTTTTTTTACACATTCCGCTACATTAATAAAGTCATCTATCACGATATCCTTGAGATTTACCTGTATAATGTAAAGGAGAAACTTCCGTATCGTTTCATGTCATATATTATACTTTATTTGCAATTGTAATATGATTACATTTATAGTTCGTATACGCACACGTGACGTTTTTACATTCATCGTAGAGATACGCTCGAAGCCACTACTCTCCTTTATACTATGAATACAAATAAGCTCTACTCTCTTAAACTAAATCAGTGAAAATGTCACTGATTAAAGTTTTCACCGAAGATCGATGAGTATTTCACTGATCTTTAGTGAAAACACTCACACTTTGCTCCTCCGTCTTTCATTGAATATGGCAGTAAGATTTCACTGAAAAATCATCTCCTCACCAACTAATTTTTCTCAGTGAGATTTCACCATTTGCTATACTTTATTTATAATTGAAACCATTGCTTATCAGTGATAACGCACTGATTCTATTTAAGAGAGATAATACACGGATTCCATTTACATATCTCTATTCCGTAATATTTTCATCAACGGAGAATTCACCAGGTAACATGCGTATAAGGATTGAGATGTGACAGACGAGTGATCTTGGATATCTCCGCGGCATGGGCGGCCAAATGCGCGGCTTTGGCATGGGCGACTTCCGGTGTATCCACGACTTGCCCGTCATGGTCAAGCGGGGCCGGCGGTCCGTGATACCCGGCACCGATGTAATTGTCAACGTAACTTCCGTCCGCGGGATATCCGCCGTGATGCGTCGCTCTGGCTGCCTCAGCTGCGTATGCCGCCAGATGCGCTTGCTTGGCGTGCGCCACTTCCGGTGTGTCGACCACTCGACCGTCGGGGGCCAGTGGGGCCGGGGGACCGTGATAATGTCCGACTTGCGCCCCGTATGCCTGATAAGGCGTATACGAGGGCAAGGCAAGCGCCGACAATGAAAGGCACGATAAGATGATCTGGACGGACAGAGATTGTAGAGAGACTTAATTACACAAGTTTGCTGATATCAAATAGTAATGATAATGAACAGATGATAAATAAAATGATAAAAAATACCGACGAAGGATCTAAATCGTTGCATGCTTGCGAGTTTTATAAAGCAGGGAAAAATAGAAATTTTTACGCAGTGCAATTTTTAATATTTAATAAGTGCAAGAAGATTCTGTTGAAGGATCACTTAGATATGCAAATTAGATATGCGAGAAACTGTTCAATGATATGATAATTTCAAACAGAATTTTTTATCTAGATTTTATTGTTCTTTGAAAAAGAGCCCACTTTTTGTAGATTAAATAGAAAATTATTAGAAACTTGTAATATGCGAGAGATGAGGATAGAGTATCTGTGTACTCACGAAGGACTTCATGCTTGTGCGCATCTATCCGAGATGAGGCGAATCTCTGTCCATTCGATCGATCTATGTAGACCTTATATAGCCAGCGCGAATACTACAGACTATCCCTATCTCTACGTCAGTATTAAATAGCGTAAATGAAACGTAGACGCAGGCCTTGCTTGATTTTCATAATAGGAACGCGAGGGGGGAGGCTGGTTTTTCTATTCGATTCTGAGAAACGAGATAGAGATACATCGAAGGGGCTATCTTGACTGAACTAGAAAAGAAGTTGAAATATTGTAGAGTGTAGCAAGAAAGAGAATTAGAGAAGGAAAGAAAGGGAAAGAAAGAGAAAGAGAGTGTAAGTGAAAAAAGAGAGAAAGAGAGGTAGGCTGGAATGCCAGTAAGAGCGAAATTATGATTGCGTCAACGAAAACGCGAGCAACGAGCGATGTTGTACAATTGGTTCGACAAAAAGTATCAAAGGCATAGAAACACTTTGATCGAATATTCGTCGATTTTGATAATCGATGAATGCTCTGAAGAAAGAAACAAGATTGAAATCGATATAAATCAAGAGAAATATTATGAGACAAATGTTTATTACAATATCTAATAAATAGATAGATTGCATCTGTCTAGTAAAGTTGTATATTACTAGACAAATAATATTTTCATATCACCTTTAATATTTATTTATTTTCTTTTAATTTAATACTGCCTATAATTCTGTTGAAGAAAATATCTTGATATATCTCCAGAATTAAAATTGCTATCAACATGAATGTTTTTTACCATAATTAAATAATGAAAATTGTATGACAAAAATCGTAAGTTTCTTTCCACTAATAACCATAACAATGATCTGCGGTTATTATATCGAATTGAAGGCTATTGAAAATTCCATCACGTAGATACTGCGTCTAATTACTTAATGAGCAATTGCGCGATTTACTTCGAAAACAACACCATAAAGAGTAATTAAATATATCTAGTCTGATTCCTTCGTTGCAGGATCTAGTAAATGATCAACGATTAGACGGATGTGTAAGATGTGTAAATATTTGTTACATTATATCGAGAAATTGTAACGCTGCGAGACAGTTTCGCGTCGCTGATGCGATGCAGAAATATCGAGAAATGTGCATCTTGCAAAAACCAAACTATCACCTTGTACAAATGTTAGTTGAACGGTATTCGTATTAGAAGGAGGGAGTGATGATGTTAGGTAAGATTAAATCGTCGATTGTATATAAACCGAGCATTTCACGCTCGATATTTATAAAGTGACATTCCATCTAAGATTGAACACAACTAGAAATGGAGTCCTTGGTAAGTAATCTTCTTGTGCTACAACAATTTCTAGCAGAATTTGTCAAAAAAAATCATCAGTTACATATTATTATATCATCATCCGTTATCCCATTAAATAAATTTTAAAATTTTAAAATTACAATAAAGTTTATGAAAAACGAGCTATGAGAAAATAGCTAAAAGACTCTTCCCAAAAATCTGCAGAGATTAACTTTGCTAAAATATTATTAATAATTGATATCAATTACATTCATAGATTATCTTGATAGCCGTCGTTGCCATAACTTCGGCTACACCGACGTATTATCAATATCATGGACCACCCGCGCCTATAGGTCACGATGGCAGAGTTACCGATACACCGGAAGTAGCCCATGCCAAAGCGGCGCATCTCGCCGCCGTGGCGGAAGCTGCCGCGAAAGTTCCGTACGGTCTGGCTTCCTACGCGAAAAATCCGGATTATTACGGATATTCGAAACCGGTATCGGTCAGTCATCAGATGTATCATAGCGGACACGGATATCACGGACCACCCGCTCCGTTAGATCACGAAGTAAGATTCTATCATACACGTCCAATCGACACTTCTTTAAAATTAAAGAATTGCACTAATAGATTAAAATCGATATAAAAATGAAGAAAAATATTGAGATAAGCGTTCATTACAATGCCTAGTCGAAAATGTGCGTATGTATAAATCATGTATTAAATTTAGATAAATTTCCATGTCTTCAAAAAAAAAAATTACTAAATTATACTACTAATTACGCGAGATATTTATCTTTATTAAATTAATTTTACTTTGCGTTTTCTGGGCAATGAAATTTATAGTAATTACACTCAAAAAAGTGGTTTTGCAACTACAGCAAAAATTTTCTGGGTGCGCAAAATTAACTGAGGTACATAAATAATTAGCAAATACTGTGATATCGCATAATCACTACCATTTCTTTATCATTCTTTTCATCTTCAGGGTCGCGTGGTAGACACGCCGGAAGTGGCCCGAGCGAAAGCCGCACACTTGGCGGCTTACAATCACATAGCTTCCTCGGCACCTGTCGGCGAGAATCATCCCCAGAGTTATGATCATCATTATTATGGCGCTTCATAAATTCCCTTGTCTCACGACAGCAGGATGATCAACACCCCCAAAATAGAGCACACTAGACACACTCATCTTGCCGCTTGCCGCCTATGCTAATGCACTTCACGGTTGCTGACGACGCTTACTGATTTTATTAATCAAGGAAACACGGCGCTGTAACTGTTAATTATTTTGCATTGCATTGATGATATATAAATATATGATACGCTCCGATAACATTTAATGTAAATATAATACTGGTATGTTTCGTGAAGAACGCGTTTCTCAATTTTATTATGTAGTTCGTTATATGGTGTAATCTCTCTTCAAGTTTCGCGATGCATCATAAATCATTTCGTATTTCGCTTCGATCGTAACTTTTAGACTGAACTACAAGACTCATGATTACTATTATCTAAGATATATTTTAGATCATAAGAAGTATAAAGCATCTTTTTATCTGATTTCTCTCTATTATTTCATTATGGCATTACTAACACACACTATAGATAGATTAAATATTTCTTAAATTAACAATAATATATATGTGACACAATTAAATCTTAATTGATATTACGGTAATACTGTTCATTTGCCTGTGAATGTTATTTTTAGCTGTAAAAGATAATTTACGCTATAATATGATTTACATCGTAAAAATATATTCAACATACGCCTGCGGCCTCGGACATCGTCATCGTCTTTTTGCGCTCACGAATTAATCCGAGGAATGATTGATCCGATCACTTAACTACATCTCAAACTTCCGAATATGTCGCAGCCAAATTCAATTCAAGGTTCACAACATTTCATGTTTCTTTCAAACAAATGATTCCGTGATTAAGCTCTATATATTAAAACGTTACTTACAATTGTAATAAGTTTTTTTTAATCTACAAAAAAATACAGATTGTGTGTGCAAATATTTTGACAAATGCCAAATGGTTGTTGCACTGCAGTCAATTTTATACATTAAACCTCTGATATACAATATCTATTTTATTTTAATTATGTTTTATTTATGTTTAATTTTAAATATGGTATCAAAAATTCTTTCTTTTACTTGTTCATCAATTTTGAATAGATTTTCTTACAATGAAGCAATCTTCCATATAGGTGAATCTCAGCATCTTATCTAATTTGTACTTGTAATTATCTTAACATGCGAAGAATTCGCTATTCGCCTAACGACATATAATCATTCGATCTTCCTAATCGGCATTTATGGATGGCCGCGAGATCGATACTTCTCGGCCCACGGGTTACGTATACTCGAAAGAATATGCCAAGTTAGCCAACTAATTGTAAATGTCGCTTAATGGGCATTTATAAGATACTCGCCTCGATTGTGCCTCGTGCACTTATACTACTAATAGACAATAGGGTCATCGGGCGTGCCGAGATTATCTCGAATTCCAAGGAAAAGGGCTTTTGTTCCCCTAAGTCGTTGCGTGATCTATCCGTTATTAAAACGCCCACCCAAGTATAGGAAAAATTCCGCATCTATATTTGAGACGATAAAAATGAGTGAAAATTATTCTCTTTTTTTTACACATAGAGATTGTTAAGATATTTTAAATATAATGAGGTCACACATATGACCTGTTGCGAAATTATACGTGTATAATGTGTATTATATATCTATTAGATATCTATCTTCTATCTATATATATCAGTAAATTAGCGATTTTTCGAAATATCTTGTTTTCTTGAAAAACAGCCTTTTTACAATTTTTTATCAATTATTTAAAAGTTCAAAATTTCAGTTATCAACCGATTATGAACTCACTCCATTTATGTATATGTAAATTATAACGAATCATAACGATGCATTAAGTGCAAATGCATTTTAACTCGAGCATTGCTCAACGATTTTATGTTGGCGCAAAACATATACTGATACAACGCACTACTTGCAGAAGTGTTATAATTTATTATGTTCGTTCCATTAATAAAAAATAAAATAAAAATTAATTTCTTAATATTAACAAGACATAACTCTATAAGCTTTAAGCTCTCCACACTAAAAAAGCTCCCTTCTAGATAAAGTTTTCAAAAAATAATTAATATATTTGAAAAATTTATATATATATATATATTTATTTATTTTCACAAAAAGGACTATCATTTTTTAGTAAAATGGTATTCTCTTTTCCAATGTCTTTCGAAATTATCTTTCATATATATATTTACGCGCTATTAAGCGATTCAAATAATATGCATGAGACTCGCATAAAGCGAGTTTCATCAGGAAGTGAGACCTTGGAAGTGAGATCCGTGAGGAATTTCCGACAGCGAGAAAAAGACGCGATCGCGCATCTGATACATATCGGCTACGTCAAACAGCAATCTGTACCGTCTGTTCCGATCATCCAAGAAAAATCTTTCGATCTCGAGGACGCGTGACCGGCCTTCATTCTTACCGGATAGACGCTCTCTTTTTCTACGTCGCACTTTATATATTTTGATCACGCTTCGTCTCCCTTCCACTTTTCGGCAGTTTCGCTTTGATATCGGCAAGGACGGCCGTTGATCGATTTCTCAGTATATCGGTAATTTATGGTAACATGAACAGGAGGAACCCTCCTCTGCCAAATACGCAGTACGCAACCTTGCCACTTTTTTTTATAAAAATATTTAAATTTTTGCACGTTAAGATAAGAATCTATCCATGAAGAATTATTTGATACTATTACTAGTATTATCGTAATTATATCATAAAGCATAAATAGATGCATTAAATTTTGCAGCAAAAAATTTAATGCAATCTAGATGAATTTTTTTACCCTACCTAAAATAGAAATCTTCCAATATGTATTTCATGGGTGCGGTACAGAATTAAATAATATTAATTACATCTTAATTAAAATGACACGCGCAATTCAAGACGGGAAAATATATATTGTCATGCCATTGAATTATTATTATATTACACAAAATTATTGTCACAATATACTTACACGAAAATAACGTGCTAATCAGTAAATCTCATTAGCGCGCTGCATAAATATGCATGTATATATGTACTAAAAAAATACCTATTTTTACATTTGTTATAGTTACAGATTCTCCGCAAGAACAGCCATTAATTATCATTTTCGCGATAATAAAGAAAAATTTACGAGTCGAATTATCTTTCACACGCAATCCCAACAGCAAAAGCTGATCGACTTTTTGTTCCGCTGAGCCGTATTTCCTGGTAGGGTACATCGAGCCCTTGTATCAGTCAGTGGTCGTTCTTGACGATGATGAACGTGAGAGACTCTGGGCCAAAGAAGCAGCCGACAGTGCAAAACTGACCTCGACGATGCATTTGCAGATGTGACGAGAACATCCCTCTCCTCTCCCCAAGCAGATTCAGGCGGGTACAGTGGCAGCATCTCATTAACGTAATGTCAATGTCAGCACTTTGAGATGTAATGTTTGCTGCAGGGCGTGGTCCCCTCCTACGGGTTGACGACTCCCTACCAGTATTCACATATATAAAAGGAGATCCGAGTCTCCACATGGTACGACATAGCAATCGCATACCTTAGGGCGAGTACTGGTAATTCAGCAGCGCACTGATAAGGCATGAAGGTTCTCGTAAGTACTATCTATATCTGCTGACGGCAGATTCGGCAAAGAGCCCCTTAAAACTAGCATCTTACACGTAAAAATTTAATTTAATTTAATTTAATCATAATGATAATAATATTTGTCTATTAGCTTAATTAATCAGTATTCTTCTCCATCGACTATTGACTTTTCTATATTTTTCGAATTATAATTCAGCAGATTTTTCAAAAAAAGATTATGCATAGAAATTATCTTCATTTTGCAGATTGTTCTCTCCGCGCTCTGCGCCATCGCGGTCGCAAACCCGATTTATCTAGCTTATCACACCGGCGTGCCGCTCGGGCCTGACGGTAAAATCCTAGACACTCCGGAGGTGGCACAGGCAAAGGCGGCGCATCTCGCTACTCAGGCTTACGAGGCCGTCAGGAACACGCTCGGCTATGCACCCGCCCTGGCCATTTATGCACCTGCAATTACGTACGGCGCACCCATCGGCGCGGACGGTCGGGTGATAGACACACCTGAGGTGGCTCAGGCCAAGGCTGCCCATCTCGCCGCTCACGCCCAAGTACGAGACATTCGCGTTTAAAGACGATTGCACAAGCGATTTAAATTATACTATATTGGCAAATTGCGCAGAAACGACTTGTGTGTCGCGTGTTTAGATACGAACTATGAAATTGCGAGCTGATATATTTATGTCATTGTTTCCTAATTTCTTTTCATTTTTATTCACGCAGGAGGCTGTCAAAACGGTCGGACTTGCTCCATACGGAGCTTTGGCATACGCCGTTTCGCCTGTGTTATACGGTTACGCTCCACTTGGATCCGACGGCAGAGTGATAGACACCCCCGAAGTGGCGCAAGCTAAGGCTGTACACTTTGCCGCTCACGCTCAGGAAACTGCCAGAAACGCTGCTCAACAAGTGTAATTATTAAAAACTTCGGCCACACCGCGCATATATATCGATCAAATCTGTGTCTCTTGATCTCCTAACCAGAGATATTCGTACCATGTTCTCCATGGATCTGAGGAATCTTTGACAATAAACGAGCCATCTTTAAGTCACATTATGCGATTTATATTATTGTTCCTTATTCAATCATACTCGGCGTATGACAATTTAACAGATAAAACTTTGTTTCCTATAGAAATGTATATAAATGTGATATTTAAAAGTTTAATTTAAACTATATATTTAAAAAAATTCACACAATAATTTAAAACGGAAAAAAGTTATAAAAAAGAAAATTACCGATCTAGATATCGTTAATTTATACATTGCGCGGCATGTCCAATTTCGAGCGCCTTTCGCGCCATGGCCAATGCGCCGTCTTTGGTTTTATGGCCGCCGATAAATCGAACGGAATGTACAAACATGGCGCCTTCGATCTCGCAGACTTCCACAAGCGCATCGTTACGTAAACCGCCCCACGCTTCCGGTAAGAAAATCCTGCATACGAAACTGCCCAGCGCTACCGGCATACATTGAACCCGATAGCTGTCGTCAGCTTCGAAAACGGCGTATTTTATCGACGGCGCAATGTTCATTTCTTTTTCTAATTGAAACAAATGCTCCTTCCACGGTACCGTTTGCGACAACAATATTATCTCGCCGCTCGAATCAACCTTTCGAAAATATTTTACATTATATTTAAATATTATAATTAGAGAAATTTATGCGATATATATTTAAAAAATTTTACTTACTTTAAATCGATCCTCCACAGCGTGTCGCACAATATCTCTCGCTGGTAGCCAAACATTTTTTGTATACTGTACAAATTCCAGAAATTCTTCCAAAACCAAAGCCATAGCTTTTTCGAATCGTTCCTCAATATTCACATCTTGGCTATTCCATTGAGGATTAAGTCTGCTCACTCGCGCGCTTAAATCAGTAACTATTCGATATCTGAAACAGATAGCAATGCAATATATCGAAAAAAAAAAATATGTTGCACACAATGTTAGAAATACTTACAATGGTTCCGCATCATACATCGGCACACCGTTATCTATAGCGTCAATTTCTTTAATTAGAGTATCATAAATTTTTTTAAAGATCTCATCAATGACTCTGTCTTCTGTTATCTCTGGAAGTGTACTCCTCAATATTTCATGACCAAAATGACAGTAGATCAAGCCTGCACTGCTTAATTTTATTGTCCAGTCATACCCTGGTTTCTTCATAACACTACTCACTGTTTCCTGAAATTCCCTGATACAAGAAAGCAAAAGATATTATAATATATCGAAAGTAACAGAACAGTGTTTCATAATGTATATATTATTATACCTCATATGATGATCGTATCGGTGCCTGGAGGGATCATATTCTCCACCAACATCCACTACGATATCACAGGAGTCTAAGACACTCAGAGTTCGAGATCTAAAAATATAATGCGATACCCATGGATTCTGTAACCCAATATAATCCTACTCATTTTGTTTCCATTATATTTTAATTATAAAACTTTCTCTTTTAATTCTGTTAGCACAATTTTCATTTCCAAGAGTCTTAAATAATTACCTCACAATAGAAGCATCCTTGTACTGCGGTAACAACTTTAAGAGAGCACAGGCGAGCACCTCGTCGCAGTGAAAAGTGCCATCGTGCGTGCCGATTTTTACAGCCGATTTTTCCAACATCGTTCTGAGCGTAAAATCAAATGCACACGTTTTCCTCCACTGGAGAAGATTAGGTAATCTACTGGAACGCGTGTTTCTTAATAGTTGACTGAAAACTCCAATCATTATACTAAATTACGTTCTGATGTTATACAGCGGACAATATATTCCATCGATTTATTGCCATTGATTCTCACCAAATACTGATGGAGCAAAACGGGCAGTAAGCAATAATCCTTTTGAATTGGGCTTGAATGTGCTTTGAACAACTTCGAAAAACGTGACAGAGGAGAATGTTCGCGGTTCGCAAATAAATTAAATTTCCTAGGCGTCACTTTGTAAGTTTGACATTTTCCCCAAATATTGCCATCTATATTCACTTCACAGGCTACGAGAATTACTTAGCCAAATCTACTTATCGACACTGTTCAATGAAAATAAAACGATTCTGCTCAATCAACGTCAAAAACGTCGAATATTGTCTCTCATGATATACCGAAATAGTGCGGTGATATATGCTGATTAAATTGTCTGAACGCTAGTTTTAAAAATGCCGAAACGTCCTTGTCCCTTCGAAGCGGATTTGCTACCGCAGGTGAAAGTGCACGTGGGACAAAAACAGATGAACAACGGCGTGTTGAGAGATGAACGGATGAAAGATGTTTACGGTAAGATCATGTTTGTTTTGTAATGTATGTTCTCTTCAAATTTCAATTCTGTACGCATCTTTACATTTTTTTCTTTATATTAAGAAATCACGCTATTTACAACTTTGATAATAATGCATCTTGTTGCGTCACTTTAATATTTTGTCCCTATTCAATTTTCTAGACAAGACTCTGAATCTGCTCAAGACAGGTGCAAAGACACTCTCGTATAAATTGAATGCATCTGCGCAAATGGATTCTATAGATCTACCTCCACTGCGACAACTGTCACCTTGCAAACTAAAATCTACATCTAATCTAAAACAGATGCTATTGACAGACAAATTGCAATTGAAAGTTAGCAATAAGATTATGAATGTGAGTTGTATATATGACTGCTATATTACTTGACCTGGCTTGCATGATTCTGCAACATTCGTTGTCTTGCAGGATATCCGGATGGATCTTTGCGGATGTTGCCGGCTGATAGATCAATCTACAATAAGCAAATGCTATTACTGTGACCAGATACTATGTTCTTCTTGTCTGTTTGCATGCACTGGCTGTTCAGAAACATTCTGTCAGAATTGCTCTTTATCTATGTAAGTTAAAAGCCATCATATACACTGTTGTCAGAATTTCAACTATGCATGATTTGTAATTGTGAATTGGTTTCATTTCAGATATAATTCCGAAGAGCAAATCATGTGCCTTAACTGCTATCGATAGCTGTCAAAAAGAAAAAGAATATTTTTTTTGAAAAAGCTCTTTTACAATATCTGATATTTTTATAATTTTAATGTTTTCTTATTATGATATATATTGTGTATAGGTGTATAAATTATTTATTTGAATCATATGCTGTTAATAGTAACTGAGATAATATAGAGAATTTTATAATTATTACAACATTTTTGCGCGAATAGTATTAAGATATTATAAAATGTTCCACACACACACATGAATATTGTTTTATATTTTAATAGTTAACTATAAAATATTTTCTGTGTGTATGCATATGTATTATATGAAAATATTAACAAAGATGTAAAGTTAAAACATTAAGCATATTTGGAAAAAACGTATTTCTATAATTGATTAATCTTTATTTCTAATATTAGAATTATTATATATGATAAAAAACTTATTACAGAAAAAAAATATATGTTTTTAATAATATTGCCATTTTAATTTAATATAACGTGCATAAAATCAGAAAAAAAAAGTAAAGCCTAATTCTTTTATATATTGTTTTTTTAAACTAAAATGATAAAACAATAAAATCAAGGATACATCCAAGTTGAAGAATTTATTTAAATTGAAAAAAGCGCGTTTTTATTATCCAATGAAAGCTGCGATCAGGAAGACGCTAGAAATGCTTCGAAGCGTTTGATTGACCAATCAGGACAAAAAGAGTAAAGATTTATTTATTCTGATTGGTTAATGCAATGCTTCGAAGCATTTCTAGCGTCTTCCCGACCACAGCCGAAATGTAGATCATTCTTAGCGATTCTATTGGACAGCATTTAGCGCGCTATTGTCGACAAAGGAAGACAAAAATTTCAAATTTCTTCAATAATAAAGATATCGTGGTTCGGTCGCATCAAGGGCATTCCGATTCTTGGTTAACATTCTTGCGATATATTCAACAAAGGTCGCGGAAAACATTTTGTTAGAAGGCTTCCTCTTGAATCACACTCGTAAAATATATCGAGACGTTTCAACAAAATTTCCTTTAGCTATGGAAAATCAAGGTATGCATTTATATCAGAAAATAAGCACGAGGTCACGTTTAAAGTCAATAAATCGTACAATTAAACAATATCCTTAGTTCGCTTATGACTTCTATTGTCCTGGAATGATAAAAGTGTTAATCGCAAAGTTTTAATCTCAAATTAAATAAATTGAATGACTATTAGTAGAATGCAATAAAAGTCTCTTAAAACTTTTTATTTAGATAATCTATTTTTTTGCGATTTATTTGTGACATCCTGCTGATTTTATTGTTAATAAATGTGAGATATTTCTTCTTTTTACTTTAGACTTGATAACCACTGATGAAACTACAAAGAAGGAACTGGAAACAATCAAATACGTTTCAATAATGCAACCTGATAATGCCAATGGAGATAATGTGTATTTACAAAATACATCAAATTCCACAAACTCAGAGAATGAGGCTATTCAAAATTGGGAAGATAAAAATTATGAAGACAAATATCCTGTTGGAAATGAAGCATATAAACAAGATGAAGTTACAGCAGACAAAATAGTGATAGATAAGATAAACACAGAAGTAATCAAGAAAAGAATCAGAAGAAGTAATCGTTTGTTAATAAATGATAAAAAAGAAAATTTGAAGACGGCTATTTGTGGTAAGGTATTAAAGCAGAAGAGAACGACAAGGAAATCAAATAAAACAGCACAGAACACGATATCAAATGAGATGTTAACAATGTTATATAAGAAGTTGGAATCTGAAAAATACGAAAAATCAATGTTACCATCATTTGGAAGCATTAGACCTAATAATACTAATAACACATTGAACATTCCATATGGAATAGCAAAACAGGAGGAATCACATTACAATTACAGTTCAAATAATAGAAATATGTTGCAGTATCTAGATTACAATAATTTGAGACATGAGAATTTGAAACAGCCAATCTTGATCAATTCTAACCCATGGCCCGTTGTACCAAAAAGTGACCAGAATTTCATATTGAACAATATTACTAATACGCAAAATCAAGTAGGACAAACTGGTTTCATTAATAATAAACAATATCATAATGCATACACTGCTGCTGATTACAACTCAAAACAAAATGAAAATCCATACTTTCATTCTTCAATTAAATCTACAGATTCCCGTCAATTATTTGGTATTGAAAACAAAGTTTTTCGTTGTTCGTGTAACGCCTGTACAAGTAACATGTGGAACAACATGCATACTGGCGTTGAAGCTTTTCCGAAAAAGGAAAATGCAACAGTTCAACAAATACCTAATAACAGTATTTTAAGTTATATTCCAACAACTGTTACTGCTAATGATACCTGGAACACTGCAGTAGGATCGTTTAATTACTTGCCTAATTATCAACCATTACAAGCAGATTACAACTTTAAAAGGTTATTTTATAGTGGTTTCAATACAATGAACAATGTGGACAATAGTGGATACAATGTGATGGCAAGAAGAAATATAATGTCTCCGTTGAATAATTGGAACCCTCAGATAAATCACTTAACGATTCCATATAATAGCAATACAAACGTTACTCTGGATGCGTCTGTCCCATCTGAACCATTACCGTCGTCTTCTCTTTATACAGGCAATAGTAGCACACAATTTAGTAACTATTATAACAAAGATCTGGTGAAAGTGGATATGTCTCAATATAAGGAAAGAGATAATTTTAATCCATCCACAATACCTAGCTTTGAAAACTCTTTACCTACTACTAATGCACATAGATTAGATTCTGAATCAACACATACTTCATCACAAAACAGTACATCAACCAATGATAGTGGTATAATATATGATATTACAAATTTTGTTCCTGAAACGAATACACCCAATGGATCTCAAGAATCTCCATCTTATGTATATGCTAAGGAGATGGACAAAAATTGGTCATCAAACTTATCTAATATCTAAAAAAATATTTTTTAATATTATTTGCAGATTAGCTTTTTATAAGTTCTTTTTTGTTAAACGAAATATTTTGATATTTGATTGATGTTCGATGTTTTGATATATGTTTTTATTTTTTATTGTGAAATGATTATATTAATATATACACAATAATATGTGTTAAAAAGAGGTTTTGTTTATAATATATATACAATGCAATTTGTATTTCTTAGATATTTGGCATACTATGATACATGTATTAAATATTTAAAAAAAAAGTATAAATAATACGTAATATAAAAATTTCTCTGAAACTACGTTTAAATATGTAACATCATATCACGCGCGTTTTTTTTTTTTTTTTATTTAATGCAGACATTGTAATTGTAGTCTCGCATTTTTTTACATTTTAAATATCATTTACATTTTTAGTTTGATTTATGAAACGGTCCTAGAATAAAAAAGAACTGATGTATAATTTAAAACTGTAGTTTGATTTATGAAACGCTCCTAGAATAAAAAAGAACTGATGTATAATTTAAAACTAAATATACAGGCAGATTATAATACACAATATATCTATATATTATACTTGTTTTAATGTATATAATTTTCCTTTCCTACTATTTGAATTAAGTACACCTGTATGCGGTATGTATCGAAAAGTACTGGTATAAAACTTGTATCTGTTAATTATAATAAAAAAAGTACTATTATAAGAATTCCATAATTAAATCGACATACATTCTTTTTTACACTTAATATACAAAGTCTATTTAAAAATGTTTGGTCAATCTATATATGAACTCACAAAGCAACAAAGTTTCGTACTAGTTAATGGTATCATTTCCGATGAATTTTAATTTAAAATATGTTAAATATGTGGCAGATAAAAATTATAAATATCAATATTAAAATTATTAGTTGACTATTTATACAGTTAACTTCGTTAATTGTAAAAGACATGAAATTAAAAATATAGATACTGTTATATTAATTTACTATAAAATATAAGTCAATGGAAGAAATATGCTTGTCATATAGCCTTGCAAGAGGCTCATACAGGAGTTATATCCATAGGGTCTTTCGCGTTTTTACGATAATGCGAGAAATTCACAGCCAAATCAATCTCGTCTTCCTCACCAAGAAGGTGGCCCTCTGCATCGACTTTCGACTTTCCAAATATTCTGTAAATAGATTTTACGATGCAAAACAGAGTTTGATAACAATTATTATGAACAACCATTATATTAGTTAATTGTTTCCTCCAGTATTAGTTTCCTTATTAGTTGATTAATGGTGCATCACAGAAATATTTTACAATAAATTAGTAATTATAGATCTTTCTTGTCACTGAAATATTATTTATCACCTTCTAAGTAGCTGTCAGTAGGTATGTTAGTATATGATATACATATATGTTTTATAAATATTTCACATTTCAATAAATCATTTATTTATTATCTGTGCCAATGGAAATATAACGAGATTAAACTTGAAATGTATAAAAGTAAAATATTTCACATAAAAATATAATTATATTCTAATAAGCATAGACAAAAAGCAACCTATTATTATACAAATATTAATAATAAATAATTAGGGTTAATTAGAAGCAATATATCTATCTGGAAATGCACATGAGTATTTATTCATAAAGTATCTGTACAATAAAGTAACGAATTCATAATACATTATATCCAACAATTTACCAAATACACACAACAATCTATACATTTTATTCATTATTTACAAAATGTTATATGTAACAAAAATATATACATATATATACCTTTTAGATGATTAATATTTCTCTTGAATGACACAAACTTTTAATCTCAGTCTTGTATTCTGTTGCAAGTCTAATATTTTCATAGAATAAGCGAAATTTTTGCGAACAAAAATAAATCGTTATTACAATCAACAATAATAGAAATATTTTTTTAAAGCGATAATATAATTTAATATATGATTACAATTTATAGTTATTTATTAATCTATGAAAATTGGAAAGAGAATCGTACCAACCTTATTATCAAATGCGAATGATGACATATGAAAAGAACATTTATTTCAACATATTTGTTTCTCAAGAAAAATATTCACATTATTTCTGATGTTATAATTCAATACAGGTAAGGAAGAGATCATACATACACACACACACACGAAAACTTTTAAAACTTTTAAAAACGCATTATCAATATATAAATATCGAAAATAGATAAAGTAGAAGAAAAAGAATCAATAAGCTTATCAAATGAATGTAATTAAATCATAAATTACAAATGATATTCCAAGCATATAATTATTGGTTAGTTACATTTGATTTAATTTCCCAGTGGTATTATTCGTATTATTAAAAAATATTAATGTGTAAATGAGCAATAAGGAAGAGTGTATAATATTATCAAAAATAATTCTGGCGCTATTCAAGATAAGTATAATAAATAAATAATTAATGTTTTTTTCATGCTAGAGTCAATTAGCTGTGCATACATGCGTTAAGCAATGGAATTATTATAATTCCACGAACCGTCTGAGAGTAGCACATTCGTTTGCGCATACCTGGATAATGTGGACGTCGATCTGTTCATGACTGGTGCGACCGAATCATCCAATCCACGATGAAGTGATATCGCGTCTAGATCAATCATTCGTGCTGTGGAGTGGGCGTGTATAGCTGCTAGATATTCAGTAGTTTCCAATGTGGCTTTAGTCGGTTTCCGATAACTGCATAAAAAACCGATATGCATTGAAACATACTTAAATCAGTTAAAATAGACAACACAATCACTAAAGAATTTTATTCCAAATATTTCAAATCTACAGTCAAAGATTTGACGACTTACAGTTTCAATAGTAAAGAACTTCCCACCACGGAAACTGAACTTAAAGCCATGGCAGCGGAGGACATCCACGGTTGCAGAAAAAGGCCGACAGGACTAAATATTCCAGCGGCTATGGGAATGCCCAAAAGATTGTAGATACTGGCGAATAAGAAATTTAGTCTTATTCTGCAGACCGTTTTCCGCGATAGATCCAAGCATGCGATTACATCCAGAAGATCATTCTGCAATATAATGTGATATTTTTCCTTTCGTGCAACGCGTATTAGTAAGGCGCATTACTTTCGCTTATTATATATATATATATATGTGACTTACGCGCATCAAAACCACGTCGGCAGCTTCTACGGCAACGTCAGTTCCCGATGCGATGGCGATACCGACATCCGATTGAGCTAGAGCCGGACTGTCATTGACACCGTCCCCCACCATGGCGACTCTTAAACCCTGATCTTGTAGTCGTTGAATTTTAGCCACCTTATGAGACGGCAACACTTCCGCGAAAACTCTGCTGATGCCAACCTGTATATTCCCGAAAAGCAGATAAACATAGATCTAACCGCGGAAATAAAATTTTTTGTACGCAACGGAATCTCTCTGCTTCGTACCTGTCTGGCGATTGAAGCCGCGGTTTTCCTGTTATCACCCGTCAAAAGAATCACTTGCAATCCCATTTTCTTCAAAGTGTAGACCGCGAGATGCGCCTCAGGCTTTACGGTATCGGCGACGCTGATCATAGCAATCAGGACATTATTTACAGCGACTAAGACAGCAGTATGTCCGAGATCCTCTTCATTAACCATCCTCGTGTCGATCTCCTGTGGGATATTGATCGCATTCCGACGCATCCATTCTCGATTACCAATACAGACTTCGTACACGTCGTCGGCGATGTTCCGATCGCCTTGCGAATCGGGATTTAACAGTAATTGCAAATCTAAGTTTTGTCTCTCCCGCGTCGATTCGACAATCGGTACATTGTCGATAGGCACGTTATTGAGATTGTACGTTCCGGCCGGCGCATTGTTTGTCTGATTTACATAGTTGATGATTTTCTCGGATTTTAGAGCATCAGACAGAACAGTGCTCAGATGGGACACCTTACACTTAAGACCGCAGCCAGCGACCGCTTGAAAATTTGTGCATTGTCCAGTAGCACCCGATCCGATCGTATCTTTCACATAGCGTACAATCGCTTAAAAAAGAAAAAAATAATTATTATTGCGTAATTAAACGTAATTATACAAAAAATGTGATACTTACCCGACGCAATAGGATGTTCGCTGTTTATTTCCGCCGTGCCGACGATCATCAGCAGCTTTGCTAACGAGCAGATCTTCTCGTCCACAAACAAACCGATCTTGGTGACAATCGGCACACCGTGCGTCAACGTTCCCGTCTTGTCAAAGACAATGCATTTAACCTTATGTGCATTTTCCAACGGTTCGGCGCCCTTGATCAGAATACCATTCAACGCGCCTACCCCTGTGCCGACCATAACCGCGGTTGGCGTGGCTAAACCGAGTGCGCAAGGACAGGCAATCGCGAGCACTGCTAGGGCGCTCCGAAAGGCGTACTGAAATATGATCTCTTCGCGATTCATGCCATGTTTATTGATCTGCTCATTGTGCAATATGGGCAGCTGCTCAACGTTCATGTAGCCGATGATAATCCAGATTATCAGTGTCACTATGGAAACTACTATAACAACAGGTATGAAATAGCCGGCTATCTTGTCGGCCAGCTGTTGAATCGGCGCCTTATTCGTCTGCGCCTCCTCTACTAAGCGAACGATCTGCGCCAACGTCGTGTGCTCACCCGTATGCGTAGCGGTGATTAGCAACGGTCCATTCTGATTGATTGAGCCGCCAATCACCACCGAGCCCTTCTTCTTTGGCACCGGCATACTTTCGCCCGTAATCAGACTCTCGTCGCAGGTCGACTGACCGGATAGCACGCGGCCATCGACAGGAACTTTGGCGCCCTGAACTACTTTCAGCACGTCGTTGCGTTGTACTAGATCAATGCTTATTAAACGCTCGGATAATATTTCGTTGTTCGGACCCAGCGTGACTAATACCGCATCCGTGGCTTTCAAAGATAGCAATTTCGAAAGAGCTTCGGACGTTTTCCCCTAAAAGCAAAGCGTATTCTTGATATCTCTTCACAAAAATGATTTATTGAATCATTGTTGAAAAGGTACTTTTGCCACATGCTCGAGCCATCTTCCTAGACTGATGAAAACTAACAGCATCGGTGGGGTATCGAAGAACGTCTGTGGACTGACATTCTCTTGCATTATCATAGCAGCAGTTAGGACGGCGAAAGAATAAATATATGAGATCGTAGTGGTCATTGAGATTAAGACATCCATATTGGTTGTGCCGTGTTTCAGTGCTTTGTAGGCTTGCACATAGAAATGCCAGCCACCGAAAAACTACGCAGAAACGGGTGATCTTAAGTGCATATAGTGAAATAAGCGAGGTAAATCTTGCATGTCGTTGCGCCTACCTGTACCGGTGTGGAGAACACAAATAGTATTAGATTTTCCCAGGAGAGACCAGGTACTATGCAACACATTTCCTCGTGCGTCGTATCGCCGATGGACATGATTAACATGAAGTACGTCATCGCTATCATGCACGGAACTCCAAAGATCAATGATACTAAGAACGCCGTTCGCCATTTGCTTATTTCTTCTCTGCAACACGAAAAACAATAAATCCAAAAAATTCCTATCCCGCAGAGGGATAATTACGCGTATTGAGAGAGAATTATGCTTACTTCTGGTCTAAATAATCTCTATTTTCTTTATCTCGGTTGCTGAACAAACTAGCTGTAAAGCCTAATTTATTAATACTTTCGACGATATCCCTGATACCGGTTTTTTCCACGTTGTACTTAAACTTTCCCCGTTGCGTCGCAAGAGCGACTACTGCCGATCGTATACCGGGCAACTTTTTCACGGTCGATTCTATTTTATTTACGCACGATGCACACGTCATGCCCAAGATCTGAAATTAATTTCATCAAAAACATATAACGCTTCCATAAGCTAATATATTTTCAAGCAATCATAAATATCTGAGCAAGTGAGACAATTTAGCATCAAAATACAAACTAAAATAATAATATATTACATCATATTTTCGATATATATTAATCTATTAATGCCAATCTGAAATTATAAGTCAATTATCTTACTTTCAATTCAATCTCGCCTTCTCCAGTCCCGGATTCTTCGATTAGAGTCGTAGGAAAGCCCAATTCCGATATACTGGAAGCAATATCCACCGCTCTTATCTTGTCGGGATCGTACGTGATCTCCGCTTTAGCGGCCATTAACGCCACCAATATGTTGTTTACGCCATATAACTTTTTACAGTGTTTTTCTATCGCGGCGACACAGGAAGCACAAGTCATACCCTTTAACCAACAAACGAGTTTATCATCCGTATCACTATCACGAAGCGCTATACTATTGTATGAGAAATTTGTATAAATGAATTAAACTCGAAGAGTGAAGTATAACGTACCGTTATATGTAAGAAACACTTTGACAATTTTCCCTTGATGTCACCGGCGCCGTTCGCTTGCATCGGTTCCGCCTTTTTGTTATTATTGGTAATCGCGTACGATTTCACAGCCTTGTCGTCCACTTCCTTGACGTATGCGGTAAAACCCATGTCTTCTATGTACGCTGCTATCTGATCGGCCGTTACGTCGCCGCTATTATAAGAGACCTTGGCTTCCTTACCCTCCAGGTTAACATTGACATTCTTTATACCGGGCTTTTCGGACAGAACACCTATAAAACATTTAAACGACATCTATAGAAAATGTGGAATTTACAACATGTATGATCCGCGGATATAAAATTTAAAGATAAAAAAGACTTCACAAAGTTTCAAACAGATTTAACAACTTTTGCTTACACAGATATATATAAAAGTGTTTCTTTCCAAACAAGAACAAAGAAATTCTGTAATTGTAATCAATAAAAATGATTATATTTCTGTATATCGACTTACTGGTGATGTTCTTAACGCACGACGAACAAGTCATTCCGTCTACGTGTATGTTGCAGATTCTGCTGGCAGGTACTATGGAGATGAGGGTATTGTTGGTTTCGTTCTTCGTTACGTCATCGGATATTGGCAGACTGACGGTGAAACCCATGTCCTCGATGGCGTCCGCCAATTCTTGCGGCGTCGTCTCGCGCGTCCTGTACTCGATATAGCCGGCCATCTCCTCCAGGACTACCCTGATACTGACGACATCCGATCGCTCGCCGATCATCCCCTCGATGTTCCTTACGCAACTCTGACAGGTCATTCCCTGGATACCGATTTTAACCGTGCTGATTTCGTCCGCGGAATGCTCGCGCGGCACGCGCACCAGATGCGTCGTACCCTCGTAATCGGTGTCATCATCGCCATTCCTTCAAACATTTTTACAGACAATTCAGGCATTTGTTCGATTGCTTCCAATATTTCAATAAAAACAGAAAATGTGTTCGATCTTAATATTACTTTCACGACGCGATGTATCTCGCAATTAAAATTCGATGCAATATAATAAGCGGAAATAATAAAAATGTTAATTAATATAATAATAACTAAATTTCTTTTAATTCCACAGAAATATTTATAAAGATAAATTGCTGCCCTATGAATAAAATTTTACTGCTTTAATAAATTAATTGTGTGATGTTGTGAAAAGATTAAATGTACATCTTATCGTTAGCTTAAATTTATATTAAGAAAACCGGAGAGAGAGGGATTTTAGAGTTTATCGACTTCATATCGATAAACTATGCCTATCAAGGCAATAATAAGATATTTTGTATATTCAGATATTTTTTAGCAATATGTTTCATTTATATTTCAATAAAATGACCTCAATAGAATATCTGGAGGATCGTCTACTTATTATTGCGAAATAAATTGTTACGATGATTTCGCAGTATTTCAAACCGGGTAATGCTTTGTTTACTACAGCTATCTCTTTCGTAAATTCACGCAATACATTCAACGCGATAAGCTACACAGAGAAGTATATTAATCGTTTTATGAATAAGGAGCATCGTAAATAAAAATATTACATTCATTCGAAGATTTGACAAATGAGTTACAAATTAATGACGCGCCATTAATTAAGAGAATCATAGAATCTTAATATTCACCGCGCGACAGTACGTTATAATCAAGATATGAAAGAAACGTGTTTTGATTATGACATACTGTCGTGTGGTGAACATCAAAATTCTATGATGCTGTTAATTAATTTCAATGAACGCTTTATCACTGATTTTGACAAAAAATTTCGCTCCTTTATCAGCAATCTGCGGCTCGCAGATAACGACGATATGTCGACCACAGAAGCAGATTTTTGCGAATCTATTCATTCAACAACATTCCATATATGTTATATATGCAAATGACAGATAAGCTGAAGAGCTAATAATTAGAGCATTATAAATTATCTATTTGAAATTAAAACACGATCAAAAAGGTTATTTTGAGATATAATATATTCATATACATTTCTTTTCTTGATACCAAAAAGATTAATATATCTCTGTAGAAGATATCCCCGTTTTACTTTCCAAAGCTTGAATATACCGTTGCCTTAATATTGAAGATATAATTCAGCTAAAGATAGCTTTCATTAACTAAAATCATAGCTTTATCCGATTTTTTGCTCTTTTCTCGATTCTATAAGACAGAAAGTCATTAAAAACCATAGATATATTTCTGATTGACTAAATTTTACGAAAATAGTCTGAAAGAACGGACACTACACACAAGTCCTCCTAAAAGTATACGACATTATACTATAAGCACACCAATTGGAATTCTTCACAAATCTTACCAAATGCTATCGACGGCGCCATAAGTTTTACTAAGAAGAGGCCGTCTCTCCTCTTCTTTCATCATTTAAGAGATTGAAGTTTCTTGACCAACACTTTCGAAAACTGTTACGCGGTTCCTTACTTCGATTTAGACTCTTGAAAATTATCTATTTCTTTATCAAACAAGTGCTTAGATAAGCACGAAAATGTCTTTGTGAACAAAGTTGTATTTTTAAAAATAATGTAGGTGTTTGCTATGCCAATTATAGCTAATAAACGATAATTGCAATCGCGATTTTCCGAATAAGATATCAAAATTTGAAATTTCAATAATTTCTAAAAAATTACTCTCTGTCTCTCTCTCTCTCTCTCTCTCTCTCTCTCTCTCTGGAAAGATAATTATATCTTGGGAAATAATCGTTTCGAGAAATTTCTATTTGTGCGGTATTATCGTGAGAGATAAGCTTTTAGCTAGTTAGTAATACAAGCACCATATTATGTATTATAATATATAGAATCGATTTGGTTAACAATTGCTGAAAAAACATGAACAACAAGCATGAGTTTCCGTGATATTAAAATGTTCGAAGGATATTCTAATTCATCATTGCGTTGCGATAAAAATCGCGATATCGAGACGCGATTTTAATTTTAATCTGTTTAATTTGTTAATTTTAAATTGTTGACGACCAGGCCGGATTGCGCGACAATCGCCAAACTATTGTCCATTTATTTGGAAGAATTACGTGTAGTGAAGAAAAGAGCGTTTGAGATCTCTCCTACAATTTTTACGACGCGCCGCGTAAAAAATGCGTTTCCTCGTTGATTACGATTTCCACGATCAAGTTAGTCTCGTTTCTGCTTTCACGACGACGGTGTGGTAGACGCGACACCAAAATATACACACGATACTCTCGATGATATCACCGAACGACTGATAATTCCTCTGGTAATCGCTATCCTGCAGTCAGCTGCTCACGGTTCGCTTTTTGCCCACGGCACTTTTTTTCCCGAGGATATATAAGAGTCGAATAATCGAGCTGATACGCTATTATGCTACACTAAAATAAAGCGAAATTCTTCGGACGATTTTACATTGCAAAATGCAAAAAATACTCATCTAATGTATAAGCTCGTGAATAAATACATCTTCCTACACAGATCACACGTTTCATTTGCGAAGCACAGGAGAATCACTCAATGAAGAGCGAATACTTCAAGTTCCATGGATGTCAGAGGATGACTAGAACCGAATTAATTTTACCGCTATCGAAGGATGAAATTCCATCCAACATTTTTCTATTTTTACATCAATCTCAACGAAGTAATTTTCTCTCTTCGATATCTATTGATTATCTATATCAACGAATGTATTGTTCACATATACATATAATATATTTATATTGTATATATTATGTGTGTGTGTACATATATTATATTTTGTATATTGTTCACATATACATATATGCTTTTCGATACACACATGATGATTTAATATATATGTATTTAAAATAAGATAAAATATATAATTCTGCGGTATTACTCATAATTTTATTATCAAACAAGCCAGATTTTCTGTAATTTTAACGACGAATAAATCATTTTCAATTATGTAATATGGCAATATTTATTGCATAATAATATTCTTCTCTTAATAAGTCTTAACGATTTATATAATTTTCGTGTAATTTGTACCGTAAAATTTTCTCCGTATAGACGTGCAAATTTGTTAATCGTTTAACAATACGGCACCTTATCACGATACGATCTTAAACTAAATACAGAGTGTACGCGCGATAAATCGAGCATTATCAAAAAAATCAGTGATTATGATACACTGACGTAAAACAAAGCCAGTCGGACGATTTTATATTGCAAGACATTGCTAACGCAAAAAATTTTGATCTCTCATATACAGCTCGTATATAAATATATCTTGCGTATACAAGTCATAGAATTGTCGATCTTAATTTTAATGAGTGTGAAAGTCGTGATTCGAGTAAAAGGCCTTCACGCTTTCTGCTCGTGATGAACTTTCATCTGGCAAGCTTGACGCATATCTATGCGTTTCTACGCGTGTATTATGCACAGAATAGACAATGCAGAGTGTACAAAAGGAACTAATGATCGTTTCATTATATCGAAATATGTGCATAATATATTTGAAGATTTATAAAGACTTTCTTTAAAGATTAAAATATGAAATTAAAGAATTAACGAAATGTTAGCTTTTCGAAATCGGCTTTAAGAAATATTTTACTCTTAAAAGTAATAATACTAACCCAAGCAACCTAATGTTTTCGCGCAATCTTGAGCGGTCCATATTGTTCACCGCAGAAAAATCCGTCAGATCGTGATACACCAGCTTCACCCGATGGATCAAGGGACCCCTGAACTTGGTCATCTCGCGTCAGATTAAACAGCGCGATACGATACTTTTAATCTTGTAATACAAATTCGCGATATCGCAGATTTATTGTTACATCATGTTACTCAAGTCAAAATATATAATAAAAAAAAAATATATATATAATTACATCACTATAAAAATGAGATAGCGAACAGGAAGCTCATGCGACCACGAACCAAACGATAATTTGCTCTATTTTTTCGTAAGCCTAAAAAAATCCGACAACAAAGCTCACTTTGGATTTCTCAGATTGATTATCATTATCACTAACAACATATTCTTTCGCACACACGAATAACAGAGCACCACGCGTATATATTATAATTTCTATTAAAAAATAGAAATAAGATACATTATTATATTAAAAAATTAAATACATAACTTTCAAAGTTTCGAGATATGCGTGACACACGGCGAAATCGCAGCACGTTATATGAAAAACGGTACGTGTTTAACGAGTATAAGGCGAGAGTGAATATCCGGGGAACCAGGTATAGGCCCGACTACTTGAATCGACTACTTGAAACAAGTATAACTTGGACGAGAGAGAAAGGCGTGCTCTAGATCGCGATGCCTTCCGTAAGATTGAACGAGACTAGCGTTATAGAAAGATAGACAGAAAAAAAAAAGATTCGCTTGCTCGGATAATGCAAAGCAGTTTGATATTTTCCGATATTAATTTTTGAACCAAATTAAACATCATGCATCTACAATACTGATTTTATATATTTGATACGCAGTTAAATTCCAGAATTAAATATAGATCATTGCTTGTAATTTTGTTGTTTTTACGTTGCAATATGTAAGTAAATTATTTCTACTATCCTTACTGGGTGTAGTGACACTTCCAAGAAACGATAAATTATTTTGTAAATTGATTCGATAATTAATATGTGTAGAATGCTGTTTCTACATATATACAAGACTTGACTGAGAGCTAAATATAACGCACGAGAAATAAAGAAATAAATATCTTCATAAATATCTTATAAATGTATTTTTTTATAAATATCTTATAAATATATTTATTTCTCGTGCATTATATTTAGCTGTCAGTCAAATCTTGTAGCTACAGCGTTGCAAAGTGAAAATATCTATAATATCGTGTGTGTTTGATATATGTCTAAAATATTTTTACAAGATACATTGAGAGAATATAATTTTTAAAGATAGTTATTAATTAAGTCCTCTTAAATTGTTGCATTCGAAAATAATCATGAAACAAAAATATTTCAGTTATTTTGCATAAAGATTGTTTGAAGAATTTATTGAGATAATACATGCATCTAATTGCTTAAGATATTTGATAAGCATATAATAAATGTCTCCACAGCACACAAAACAAGATTAAAAAGATTAAATATACTTTTTTTCCTAAAAAAATACCCAAGGAATTTATCTACAAATTATTCGATTAATTTGGAATTAATTTCCTGCTGTAAATTTTATTCATTGTAAAATCTTAATTATTAATATTATGTTTAATTAATGTAATATCTGCCCGCTATGTACATATTTTAATAGCAACAACGTTACGTCGCTTCTACTATTCATGCATGCGATCTCTCTTAATGGCTATTAAAACGCGCGAATCGAAAACAGCGTTTAATTTATTGTCGCGATTGCTATTTATCTCGAGACACCGAGAATCACAATACTATGTACTCGTATTTTAATAAAGTGAGAATGACTACGAGAATTAATCCAATTTCATCGACCGTATCTCTCGGAATCTATCTCTAATCAAACTTAGATACTACCAATGATGAATCTTTAAACGGAAAATACGTTGGCTGTAAATGGCAGGAAATGATGATAGAAAACTAATGACGCTAATATGTATGATTCATATATTCGAAAGTATGTGTGGAAATATTCCTGGAGAATCTCAAATCCTCCAATAATAATGCGACTTACCCAAATGCCTCGACTAATACATTGTATTTCCATATATCCTTAGATTTTCGTGCCATTTTGCCACGTCACTCGGAAAATCTTCCTGATATTCCCCGAATTCCTCGAATATCGCGTGTTTTAATTACACCAAATTTTTTTCTCTTCTATCTACGATTGTTCTTTTTTCTATGGGTTGTCGCGTTTCTTCGAAACAAGACGCGTATAATTAAAGCATAACGAAACTGTCATGATACATCTCGCACGACTCATTACGAATTCAATCATGCATTGATGTTGCACGACTCGATGCACACGATAACACAACGCAAAAGACACACAAAGCACCTGTTAATACATCCAGATTACATTCTGCAAACGGATTTGAATACGACATCTATAAGACTGCAATTTAGATATTCGATCGGTGTCCCGGTTAAAAAACTGACACTACAGGAATGTTCTCTAATTATGTTATTAAACAGTATCATGTTCTCGTACTTGTGTGTTTAGCCTATGTATATCGTGCGCGCAATAAAAGAATTCTATTATGGTCGAACGATCAAATGGATCGTGTCAATAACGTTGCATTTTTATTCATATAATTATGCGATTTGTCTTTAATGAATTTTCTTAGAAAATTGCGCCGCAGAAATTGCGGTTTGCCAAGATGGGAGCGTTATCTTATTTCGAGAGATTACGTTGTTTGATTAAAGAAAATTACATTTAAGCTATATTTAAATAATCGTTATTACTTGTATATAATTGCAATTTAAATTAAACAATTCTTTTCACGCACGAAAACTATTGAAGTTCGCCAAAAATCGAGTACTTTGTCTAACTTTACTCGACGAGAAACTACGCGATCTGGCACATATCGAGCAAGCAAAGCATTATTTTTTAACTGATAGTAAAAGAATGCGTGAGTGGGAGTTTAAGGTAAACTTTGTTTAGCGGAATAATTTACTAAACGCGATAAAATGTAGAACAGTCAATGTTGCGATGCATGATTGCTTTGTTCTAAACGATATTAAAGTATAATTATAGAACTTTCGGTGAAGTTGAGCGTAACTGACTGACTCACTTTTGTATGCAAATGTATAATATGAATGATACATAGTTAATATAGTGGTTTATATAGCGAGAGGCAGCAACAGATAAGATAAAATCGACCGACAGAATTCTTTGGAGATCTCTTCCATGTTCCAAGGACATATCTTTTACGCGACAGTATTTTTGTTATATTCAGATATTAAAAATTAAAATCAATGCTACAGTTTCTACGCATGACTTACTGGCAACGCTTAAGATTTATCTCAAGGATTCTAAATAAATTGGAAAATTTTTTATCTTAGAGAGATATACATGTACTTTTGTCTCCTCAATTCGTTCTCTCTTCATTTTAAATTAGGACAAATATACAAAAGAGAGATAATATATTCATACAGAAATTCATACAGAAAATGTATCTTACTCACTTTTTTTTTATAAATCGGTTTTCAGTTTTGTCATCTTTAGCATCACTTCTTTCATCTGTAACAACATATCCATTATATTATCAAATAATCCTCTAAATACTGGATTTCATCAATCGTACTGTTTTTTATCATGATGCAAAAACTTCTTTCAGAGCTCTTTCCAGATAATTCAGAGAAATTAAATTAATTTACCTTATGACAAACTCAGCATCTGCACTCACCTCTATCTACGTGATTCATAATCCCCTGACATTGCTCTACCTTCGTCACGTCCATTCTCCTCTGTAACCAGACAAAGTTTGAAGATGTTAGAGCAAATTATGTCAATCAACTGTCTCTGTCTCAGCGTTCACGCATCGCATACATCGGCACAGAGACCAGTTAATCACGCACAATGCATCATCAAAGGAACAGACACACAAGAGTGTCTTTCACATCTACTTCCGAGTGTACAGCATTTAAACACATACACGTACCGTTCAGCATACGGGTCGTCCTCCTGCGATTCTTCATATGGGATTATAACCTAAAGGCGTTGCCTGCCTCAGACTCGAACTCGATCACGGATGATTTTCGGAGCGAAGGAACACTGTACACTGCACATCACTATCTCTCTCTCTCTCTCTCTCTTTCGGAAGCGCGACGAAGGGGGAGGTGTATTATCGCGCAGAAATTGATCTGCGTACGCGGAGAGCGTGCGTTGTGTTAGACGCACTCTCGATTCACGCGGCACGACACAAACGCGGAACGAGGATGAACCGAGATGCAAGTCGCGACGCGTGCAAAAAAAAATATATATACACTTTTGTCAACTCGCCGCGTGACCCACGTGATCTCGCAGTCGACTATTGAAACAAATAGCTGACTTCGCGTGACTGACCTGAAAAAAAGAACATCGAGTTTTTATTATATTATTATTGTATTTTTATTATATTATTATTATATTATTATTATATTATTATTGCCTGATATATTTGTCTTTTAATTTTAATAATCTCCCATAAAATAGAATTACATCGTTGCAAACAGCGTGCGTTCGGAAATCCTACCCGAGACCCGAGAGAGCAAAGAAATCTGCTCCTTTTGTCTTGATTATTAGATGATTAGTTAAACGCTACTTTACCCCACGGGGTAATAAATTAAATGTTAAAAAAATGTAACAAATGTAATAAATAAAATTGAATATTAAATTCGTAAGCACGCTCATTCTAATAATTTATTTATTTATCATCCGTATATTCGACAAAATTGATGACATCTTCTATAAGGAAAGAGAATGGGAATCATTGTGCATTAGATATATCGAAAGTTATATTTTTTGCATCTTCTTGCATATATCTTTTTTTACTTGTAATTAATTTCTTCTTATACTTTTCATACTTATCTCAATTAACAAAGTATTTTATTATTTGTTGTCGATTGAGTATATAATGATCAATCATGGTGTAACTTATTTTTATGTAATTGCTCGATCATAAATAAAAAGAAAATAAATCTCAAGAATGTTGATTTTCAACAAAATAAAATCTTAAGAGTTAATTGTAATCATTTTGAATGTTTCCTTGCAAATTAATATTTACTTGCGACGTATATCGACCTATATCGACTGTCCTATGAAAGGGAAAAGTATTCTCGATTTTGCGAGGTTAATCCCACAGATTTCTATGGGCGCGTTCCACTTAACGAGCAATGCTCGCGAGCATCATATGTCTTTGTTTAACTTTCGGTGAACAACAAAGATGAAATGATACCGTGAGCGTTGCGGTTGTGAAGTGGAACGCGCTGCGAGGTTAGTCATTCGCTCTGACAAGAGAAGTCCGCGGTGATTAGGATCAAGTTACACGTCGGCAAATCAAATGATTGTTCCATATGTAAAACTACGAGCAGCTGGAAGCATGATTCTTTACTCTTTAATGTAAGGACACCGCGTGAAAACAGCTCGTTAGCGATCTTCTGTATAGTGTGTAATTACAATTTGGGTTCCCTTCTAGCATTAAAAATTGCTCTTAATTTGTGATCTATTTTCATTTTTTTACTTCGTTCTCTTTCATCAAATTAATTAGATTTTCATCTCATATTATGAAATTATTCTATGGTTCAATAAATGAAGAGAATATATATATATTTATTATAAAAGTAGTATTATATATAATTGTAATGTGTGTAGTTTAATTAGCTTGCAGTTTTATTTTTTATTAAACTTTGCTTATTATAGCAATATTATATTCTAATATTAATTACAATATATTTAGAAATGTTTTTATATTAAAATGTATCTATAGAAGAGATTTGTTTAACAAACTTACAGGACATCATCATATCCATAATGTTGTTAATAGTAGTGTATAAACTACTCTATATACTACTACTAATCCTAGTTGTACTAGTACTAGTACTACTTGTCCTTTTGTCAATTCTATTGATAAAACGGAGAAAGTTTAAAAAAAAGCGAGAGGAGAGACAACAGAAAGCCACAGTCGTTGGAATCTTTCATCCGTATTGCAATGCAGGTGGAGGAGGCGAGAGAGTGCTTTGGGCTGCGGTTCAAGCTATACAGAATATGTATGTCGAAATAATTTAGATTTAAAAAATTTATAATCTGCCAAATTTATCTATACCATTACCTTTATATACTAACTATTACATTTTTTATTATTATTTACATTTTGAATGCCTCTAGATATCCTGATGTACATATAGCTATATATACTGGTGATCTTGATGCTGATCCCGAAACGATTCTTAACAGAACTGAAAAATCATTCAATGTAAAATTGCGTCCAAACATTGAATTCGTCTATCTGCGTAAACGAAAATGGGTGGAAGCTTCCATGTATCCTCATTTCACATTGCTAGGGCAAAGTCTGGGATCTATCTGGTTGGGCATCGAGGCGTTGGACAGTTTTCCACCAGGTGATATAATTAATTATTTGAGATATTCACAACGCTACTATACAAAATTTCCATATTAAACAAAATACATAAAAATACACAAATCTCATATTATGAAATCATTCTATGGTTCAATAAATGAAGAAAATATATATATACTTATTATAAAATTAGTATTATATATAATTGTAATGTGTGTAGTTTAATTAGCTTGCAGTTTTATTTTTTATTAAACTTTGCTTATTATAGCAATATTATATTCTAATATTAATTACAATATATTTAGAAATGTTTTTATATTAAAATGTATCTATAGAAGAGATTTGTTTAACAAACTTACAGGACATCATCATATCCATAATGTTGTTAATAGTAGTGTATAAACTACTCTATATACTACTACTAATCCTAGTTGTACTAGTACTAGTACTACTTGTCCTTTTGTCATATCAACTCTATCTGGAAATGTCAATTAAAGACGCATCGAGTGTATCCTCCGTGCAACGTAGAACATCTGACTAAATTGCCGTTACTCAATGACGAGGAAAAAGGCAGCTATATACGTATAGTGGCGCTCGCACAATTCAGACCAGAAAAGAATCATCCGCTCATGTTGAGGGCCATGTTCGAACTAAGATCGATTCTTAAGGAGGAAATCTGGGAAAGAGTAAGCTAATGATTT